ACGCACGCTTGTGTCGTTCACGTGCGTGCGTCTCTCCACTGCGTTGGAGACAACCGCAACAACAAACCAATCGCAGGTCGAGGAGAAGTGTTCACGCGCGTTGCATGCCGGTCGCGGGCCGGCTTCTTCTATCCGCAAACATGGCGTCGGTTGTGATCGTCGATGTAGACGGCGTGGTGGAAGCTCATCGTTCCGCGTAAAAGTGCTTTCCTTGACTGTGAATTTTCGTTGTGTGGCGCTATGATAACCCAGCACGTACTAGAAGGAAGATCCACCGACTCGTGCGGCGATGTCGTGGCGGCACTCTCAAGACAGCAGAAACGCCCGTGTCGTCGTGTTTGTTTACTTCGACTACAGTGGTGCTTTCTAAGCATTTGTGTTTTCGAACATCGCCCAGATTTCTTATTTGGAGCATTTCATGCCTGTGCTCAAGTTGAAGGTATTACTGGCGCGTACCGTATAAAGGATGCGAATTTTCACGCGTTTTCATCACCGGAGAAAAGTGATTAGGTTTAACAATCCTGAACTCTCGCAACGTCCGTCTGCAACCCGCGACGCCGTTAAAAGGCTGCGCCAGGCAAAAGCCGCTCATTTCTTTCGAAATGTGTGACACACTTAAGAGAGAAGTGAACTAGTCTGGTGAAATAAAGACATTCCTCAAACTAAGCTTTGTTTTTCATCTAACATAAAATAAATTCTTTTATAAAGGTGAGTTGTCTCATGGCATGTATTTTGGCCTGAAAAATTGATGTTTTGGTTATAACACGGTACCGCTTATAGTGCGGATTTTCACGACTCCTGCGACATACGTTATATGCGGTCTACACTGTATCTAGAGGAACACGAAGAAAATATAATTAGAAAAGGAAAAAGAAATTCAGTAATTATGAAACTCGAGGCACTATGGAATTGTAATATGTAGATATGAAGTTGTCAAGGGGTATATGAAAAGGAGTAATGGTGCCAGGACTGTCTTTCAGCAATGGGGTGCTGCGTACGAGATCATTTTCAATCGGGACTGAAAATTCAACAAAGGAGCGTGGGCAGATTAGCACTAGGAGCACATGGAACACACCAAATGCAGGGGGGCATGGGCTGGTCGTCCTTTGAGAACAGAGAGGCAATTAGTAAATTGACATTTGAAGTAAGGTTAACCAAAATTGATGATATCCGGTGGGCACAGAAAGTTTTCAAGTATTTATACACAAACAGTTTAGACAAAGATGGACAAACCAAACCCAAAAGCTGACATTTAAATACCTGCATCCCAGTGATGGGGCTGAGCAGACTAGTTCTGTGAAAAAGGAAGTGAAAGAGGCATAAAGAAAAATGTGAGAGGGAAGAAAGCAGGAAAAATTGGCTTTAACAATGTACAGGTCACAAAAACAGGACATAAGAAAGGAAAAGGTGTTTAACTCACGTGGAAGCTCTCTACTGTTCGAGGCGAGAACAGGAGTGTTTAAGAAAGAGACATACAAGGCTAAATTTCAAGAGATAGACACATTATGTGCCGTATGCCATAGTGAGGGTGAGATGCCACAACATTTGGTTTTAAGTGCATGGGGCTTCGCCCTGCCCTCCCTGAAAGGGTAACAAATCTAGCGGGGGCACTGGGTTTTGTTGACGAGGAGAGAAGAATGGGGGAGAAAAGAATTAAAGACACAAAGAGGAGTTCAGAAGATGAGTGGAAATTATCCAGGGAAAATTTAATGAAGTAAAACTAAGTAGCACAGCTGGGGACAGGCAGGACAGAGGAAAATTGGGACTCCCTCCCGCGTGGCTCCGGCCCAAAGTCTCAAACCCCGTCTCCCAGTGGGTCCAGTGTTGGGGGAACGCCAAATAGGTTTGACAAGAAGAAAATCGGTGTCTCACTCACTGGGAGGAGAAAGCAAGGAGTGATGTTTTTAGTTTTTGGCCCGATCCCCCATAGGTCATCCTGGCGATACCCCACACTGCCAGGTGATAGTTACAAAATGCAGAGGGAAAGCAAAGCGGCTCAGAAGGGCAAGGGGAGGAATCATACTTTTGGTTCCTAGGTTAGGTGGTGCAAGCTACTGCCTGTTACAAAGGGTACAACCATTAGCACCCATCCATCCATCCATCAGAATCATTTGGCAATGTAACGAACCTGGCTCCTGTGCCCAGTACATCATTTCTATACTTCCAATGTTTGGAAGTTCCAAATGTTTGGAAGTTCCAATGTTTGGAAGTTCCAAACATTGTTAGGGTGATTCAGCAGTTCGTTCCGAGCGCTATTCCTGAAGTTTTCTTTATCTCTTTGATAAGAAACTTTACTTCAGCCCTTGCCCTGCTAAATTTCGTGTATGGTGCGCCCCAAACTTAACGCCGCCACGAGATGGTCCGGTTTCCTCATTTCTTGAGCTGTTCCTGAACCTAGCAGTTGAACTAGTTGGTGAAGATTTGCGTCCCCGATGAAAACCCAATCAGGGGAAGGTATTCCAGCGGTGACGTCAGAACGCCGAGCCCTGATTGGCTGATCGTGACCCCCTATCTCAGCGTCGTCTGCTCCTTTGCAACGTCGTCTGCTCGCAACATCGTCTGCGTCTGTCTTACCTTTCCTGCGACTTTCGGAAGTGCAGGTCTTTACGAGCGAGCTCGACTTCGCCTTTCAGAGAGGGCAGACGAAATAACTCGAGCGGTAGGTTGTTTTTGTCTAACAATTAGCAGACGCGCATCAAGGAGGGAAGTCAAAGGACTCACTGGCGAGGTGTCCCGAGGCGCCGAGGTTTGTTTGCTAAGAACCGAGAGTGAGCGTGTTAGTGTCCGCAAGTTCCCTCCCAAATACTTTTTCCCTCCTTTCGTGTGCGGCGAGACTTCTCATTCTTTAACGGCGTCGGCGGGTTGGCGCAGTTAACATTGTCTGCTTTACGTCTCCTAGTCAAAGCGATGGCTGCTTTACCTTCCCTGCGTCTGTCGGAGATTCACCGCTTTTTCACCGGCGAGAGTCACCGTTGCCTCAGGAAGCAAGGAGATAACAAGAGGAAGAAATTGACCTCTTAAAATTGAGGTCAGCGATCAAAGTATAATACGGGAAGGGTTCACAAGGGTCGCGCGGGCATATTCCATTCAGCACGCCAGCCGGTCGTAGGCAGACGGTCGCCGAGTCGCGGAGTGCCTGCTAGGCCTAACTGCCCAGCTCATTTGGTCGCGTTCGGTGGAATCGTGGCTGTTGGAGCTTTTCCCGGGTGTTTGTGGATCCAGCGTTCTTGTTCGTCGTGGTCTATTTCAAGTACTTTTTACTTTTTTTCTTGCTGCTTGAAGTCGGGATGCGTGAAAAGTGCACATAGAAAAATAAACGTCCGTGAATCGCCGCGACCGCGACGCTGTCGGCCATGCTGATTTGATCGTAAGAAGTGCGTAAGACAGCTTCGGAGCTGTCGTAGGATTTTGTCGTAACCTGCGCAAAACTTACGAAAATTTTGTTTCGTGAATACGAATTTGTTCTTAAGTTATGTCTTACGCACATTTTTGGCGTAAGATTGTTTCGTGAATCTGGCCTCTGCACTTCCGAAAGTCGCAGGAAAGGTAAGACAGACGCAGACGACGTTGCGAGCAGACGACGTTGCAAAGGAGCGGACGACGCTCAGATAGGGGGGTCGCTATCAGCTAATCAGGGCTCGGCATTTTGACGTCACCGCTACCCCCTGCGCACGAAGCAGACAAACTTGCCCTCCGCATACATTTGAAAAGTAATTTCACCATCTCTGCTTCAAATATTCTGGTTTTGCCAATTTGTTCAACTAGCATACTTAGGGAGATATTTGATGGGAGAGGGGCGGTGCAACGGTTTTCAGACATTGGCCAATTAACTGCGAAAATTAATCTGTGTCACCTATGAAACGGATAAACAGAAAACAGTATTTTCTTGCGAGCGCTAGTTATTTTTAAAAAAGGAAACAAATCGAAGGTCAAAGTGCCTCTCAACTCTCCACGTCGACTTTCGAGTGACGTACTTTGGGGGGTTCACGTGGTATTCCCCTTGCGTCCTCTCTTCAGAAACCCTAGCTGCTTCCTCCGCGATTGTCGACATTTAAGGGATTAGCATCGTCGAAGGTCGTGGCGAGCGATTGACACAAAGGACGGTTTGCCACGGGGCTGACGGCGAGTGTAGCAACGGAGGGGAACAGGCTTTGTTGACTTCCGCATATCCCCCAGAGACGCTGTATTTTTGGTTCCCGTAACCGCTACAGGCGGCTGCAGATTGGCAAATAATAGGTTTTTTGCTTTGCAAAGATGCAGCAGAATAGCAGTTTTTCTGGGAAAGGTGACGAGTTTTTGGTCACTTGGGCTTGCATAAACAATATAAAAAGTGCAAACTGCCAATTATTTCAACATTAAAATCGTTGCACTGCCCCTTTAAAGGGAAGCTACGGAGCTTCTTGAAAAAAATGAGTTAGAAGTGAATTCTAGTGTATTTTTACTCCGTGAACTCAAATACCCAAACCATTTGCTGCGCAAGTATTGTTCAACGCGAGAAAACGCAAAAGGAAGTCACTGTAGGTGACGTCATCAACGGATCTTTTGGCTGCCCAAGGCTAGGGAGGCGGGGCTTCACCCCTATTTTGAAAATGCTCTTATGGCTCTCCGGCGCGTCACATTGAAATATAATTGTGATATCTGTTATTCTAAAGGCCAAATGAATGCAATTCAAGCGTTTTTTCTCAAATGCAGAAGTGCCCCATCTTCCCTTTAAAAGGTAGGATGCGTGAGGAAAATATCCTCCGCTACAGCAAGCAGTCCTAGCTTTGCCCACTCAACATTTTGCCATTTTAACCAACTTAGGGGCTGCATGGCTGCAACTTTTGCAGTTACCAGACATCACAACAGCAAGGATGAAGAGATGGTGAAGCTGCCAGAGAAGCACAACTCACAAGAACCAGATTTTGTACAGCATTTGTGTCATCCTCAAAATTTTTGGAAGTGAAAGCCAGTTACCGAAAATTCGGAGAGAGAACGAGTGAACAAAATGAACCACTCACCTAGAGTTACCCCAACTGAAGACAACGCCATTTTCGGCGAGTGCCAGGTTGTGCGCGTTGCCACAAACTACAGACTTGATAGAGGGCCTTGCAAGTACTAAAGGTTCCAATGTGAGCGTTGAGCAATAAAGACGTTCCATGGAGCCATCTAGAAAGGCATTAAGCAAGATCAGGAACACAAACACATAGCAGCACCACCAGATACATATAGAAGCCAATGGTGGTTACAGGTTTGCATCCAACCCGCGTCTGCAGACTTTGTACAAACATCCGAACTGCATCCAACCCCCCACTCACACTTTATTCCTTTACATTTGAGGCTTGAAAAACACTTTTGGTGCATGTGTACTTGTGAAGATCGACCTCAACTAATGATAGACATCTCATGCATTTACCTTTCATACTGTGAAATAGGTAATGGACCACACAGAACACATGCTATATTGTATTTCGCATGCACACAAGCTCATGATATTGGGAAAACACAAGGCACAGCATCAATCCGTAGAGGGGAAGTTATGTGTTCTGTGTGTGTCTCATTGGCTTTGTCCAGTCTATTTACACTGTTTTCATTACGTCCACCTTTCACAACACCGTAATGCTGACAAAAGACAGTATGTGCAGCTGGAAGCATTCTATATCAAACTAGAGGCTGAAGAAATCATTTGACAAATGATTCCTGGTCATCGTTTAACAAGGTGGTCCCACAGCAATCTGTGACCAGAACAGCCTCCTGTGCCGGAGGGCACAATCTGAATAGTGTTGCAAACTCTCAGCTAATCTCAACAACATAATTGAACCAGATATGATTTCGGCTCGAAGCAGCAAAACAAGTCGCGCATCAGTGAGTCTCAGTTTGAGCAAGAGCAGCCTTACGTATTTAAAACATTTCACATCCCCATCCGATTTGCGAGCCTTTCAGGCTGCATCCAACATCTTGTGCTCCATCCGTTGGATGGAGCACAAACTTAGAAGTAACATCACTTAAAAAGCAACGGTACTTTATAAGGATACTGATGGGCAATTTTTGCCCCCCCCCCCCCCCCCCCCCCTCTCAAGAGACTCCACAACTTTACGACCGAAAATGTGATCAAATATTACACACAATAACCAGATGGCACCTAACCCAGACTTTACATGCATCACTGGAATGTTGTTTCAGTCTACCTAGATAGTTTTCGCTAAGTGTCTCACCACTTTGCAACAGCTGATGCACTTGCTTACACATGAGTGCACAGTGGAAGTGTCATGCATAGTTGACTGGAGGCAATAGGTCAGGTCAAAGCCAGCCCCATTGCCTCCAATGGATTAGCTAGGTCAAGCTAATCCACCTGATTAGCTATAGAGAAGGATGATAATGTGCAATGTAAATGGAGCAGATGATTTGCATGCAGCATTACCGTGAACGTTGCCCTCATAATATCACAATGGCTTGGCGCTAAATAAAATTAGCAACTATTTGACAATTCTTAAATTGCGCTTCTCTTCATGACTTCTGCATTCAAGGTGCTACTGAATTACTCTTACCATCCCATCTTTCGAGCACAAGAATAAATTGACTTCCACCTGAAATGGAGTGCAGCTCACATTCTCTAGGCGACTGGTGGCCGCTGAAAAAACTCTGCCTGGTCCGAGATTCAACCTCCGGATCTTTTCAAGACTAGCAAAGCGTTCTACCAACTGAACTAACCAGAAGCTAGCTGTCAGTAGAGTAAACAGATGTTAAAGTGCAACCCCACTGCTCATGATGATTGGCTTCTTTTATGACGGTTTATGACTTTCTTCCTATGTTTTGTACAGCCGTAAAGTGAATGTCAAATTAAAAAAAAAACATTATTAGCTCTACACCAAGTCAACTCGTTGCTTCACACCATGGTGGTGGCGCTTCGAGCTCACTTTGAAGTCCCCATGCGGGACGAGCATTTCGGTGTGGTTTTGAAAGAAACGAGACTAAAACCTGCCTTCTCGTCGAAGCGCCACGACTGGGGCTGTACGAAAAGAGCCGGTAAAGGCGTGAAGATCAGTTTCCATGTGGTTTCTGCCTGCTCGGTTCGTCCGAGAATGTGGATATGTGCCGTGAAAAGGGAAAGCCAGATGCCATCAGACCACGATTGCTTGTGCGGGAAGCACTTTGGCTTGACTTCACGGATAAGTGTGGTAGTCAGATTTAGTTTTGTTCCAACATGAACGTAGGAAAACCGTCAAGTTGTCTGGACTACTCGTGGACTATGTTCAGTGCGTCTTCATGTTCAAATAGCCGTCTGATCGTCGAACTGCTGTCTTCTCGTTCAAACGACAGCGGCCAGTAGACCAAAGGTTGTGATAAGAAGCAAGTGCAGGCCTCAAAAGACTTCAAAGTTTGAAGGTTGTTTGGAGTATGTAGGCTCGGTGTGGACAGAAGATACAAGATTTTGATCAGTTACCAGTGGTCATCACCGACTTGTTATGCCCAATTCACCTGGTCCGATTCTGCTTGCGATTATCCGTATGGACATCGAGCATCGCAGCTACCATCCATGCTTTTGCAGCCCGAGTGACATCGCAACTGAAAATATTGAGCAGAATCTCATCGTGGTGAATCAGGCTTTAGCACCCATTCTGCAGCATTCAAGCAGAATGAATCGCCACGTGTCACATTATTTACACAAAGCTTTGCGGTGTAACGAGCCTCATTAATTTTTCTCGGGCCATCAAAGTAGTAAGACATTGCTAAGAAGACGTGGAATCAACAATTCCATTGCGAAAAGGAGTGTGGGGACTAACACCAACGCCGACAACATCACATTCCAACGGTTTGTGGATGCGGGGCATGGTGCATCTTGCTCACACCCCATCCCGCATGCACGGTACTGGTGGCGTGCCGCTAGGGGCGGTCCGGTTTGTTTGCAAACATGAGTTGATACTTTAATGCCATAATATTATGTTTATCCATAGTTGTTAGTTTATTATTTAGCTTTTTACCGACCACAGTATCAGGGATTGAACATTTGTTTTCTCAATTTCTGTGGCATATAATGAAACTAAAAAGTAAGCAAGGAATTAAACAGAAAATGTATATTTTAAAATAAAAACAGTTTAAAATGTTATTATCTCGTGCTATAAAAACTTAATCATGTCAACTAATGAAAATTACGAGAAATTAAATTACGAAGCACATTTCAAAATTACATTTTTCACAATTTGCATATGAAGTTTAGCATTAAACCTCAAACTTTTCCCATTCAGTTACGGCAAATTGCAGTTTTTTAATATCAAATATAGATGGTAACACATGTTCAATAGCTTGACGTGCAATTGTCGTCATGTGCCGCTTGGAACGCCACGTGAGAGACAAAAAAGGTGCCCGATGTTTGGGTGTCAGGTGCCTCGATGCCCGCAGTCAGCGAGCCAGAGATGCTAGAACAACAGCCGTGAGGTTGTAGGTGGACCACGACCAATTTTGTGCACATTCCATGGTGCATTGGTTCAGTATGCATGCCTGGAGCACTCAAAATGAAATGGACGTCATGAAAGAGATCCGGACAGTTGCGATTCTTCCACGTTGGCCAAATCCATTGAATTTTCTTATCAACTTCAGAAATAGTTTTCACAATCACACTATGGCACGTCGAAATAGTGCGACTCTATTTGTTTCACAGTCACCTCGGTGGCTCTTAAAGGGACACTGACAGGGTATTTATGCTTGCTAAGGTTTTTATTTGTACATTACATACGAAAACCCAACTACCCAGAAAACAATTCACGGCTCGAAATTCGTTTTCTTTCCGACCAAAAACAGCCAATCGAGAACTGGCCGGTTTGAATCGCGCTCACTCTCTTCTTCGTGGCCACGTGCCGTTTCTTATGGTTTAGACACAACCACCAAATATAATCAAAGTCATAGGTCATAGAAGGCACATACACAAAATTAAAAATAGAAAATAAATATGATACACATTTTTTTGTGGCTTCTAAACAGTGGCAAATGCGTTGTTTGGGGAAAAAAAGTATCACAACCACGTGACTTCTGCCACCTCTCTCCTCCTTTATATTTCTTCTTCCTCCCCAGTCCAGTTTCGGTTTCCGTTATGAGCAGTTGCGTTTTTTTCTACTCTATTAAAAATATGAGTGATGCTGTGGCAAAATATTGATTGGGTAGTCTTCTGACACCATAAAAAATCACTTGGCAAAAAATAAAAAAATAAATTTTGGGGGTGTCTGTGTCCCCTTCACCGTTTATAATATTAAAAATAAAAATGTCTCGGTGCTCAGAGGCAAAGCACCGACCTACGGGCCTCCATTTGGCGGGTTCGAATCCCTGCCGATGTTCCCATAATCTGACAGAGGCCTAATACTTTGTCGTGCAACTGAGACTTCGCTGGCACGACAAAAGATCTCCAATTAGTCTAAATTAGCTCGCTTTTTTTTTATTCGTTATATGCCGTGCAGGTGCTTTTTGTTGGTTTCGCTTAAAAAAGACCCCCAAGATTTCATTTTTGCTTCGCTTTACCTTAGTTCTGAGCGTGGCCAACGCTACGGGTAGATGAAGTCAACCAAGTAGTGCCAAGAGCGCAAGGTCATGCAGTTTGTTCTTTTTTTGCGCTAGTGCGATCATCGGTTAAACCAAGTGCAGAAAAAGCCTTATGATACTGCGCTTGTAGTGGGTGTTTTCACTCTTTTTTGTCTTCAAACATTTGATTGCTTTCTGACTTACAATGAAACAGAGTACATTGTCAAACTTTTCGTATAATGTTTGTAAAATAAAACAGCATGTTCACGTGAAACAACATAGGCGGGTTTAATTTAAAACAACAGGAAATTAGAGCAGTTTTAACAATTGTCTTATCATGCTTTTGATCGTCAAGTACCTCAATACTCGTAGCACTGTTGCCCTTTCACCTTGATGTGGGAAAATGTCCAACAGGTCTGGAACTTTTTTTTAAAATTATTATTCTTATGTTTTTATGAAGGAAATTTTTCTTCTATGATGTCACAGAACAAATTCATAATTCTCATTCTAAATCACAATAGTGCAACTTTATTTTGTTTCATAGCCACCTCAGTTACGAGGCAATGCGCAAGCCTACGGGCCCCCAGCCGCCCAGCGATTATACAATCAATCAATCAGCATTTATTTCAGCTTGAAACACAAACTGAGGGTGGCGAGAA